TAATCGGAATTAACTACAACATAAATTGGAAATATATTTATATATTTTGGTATAAAAGAGAGATTTTAATCACGTCACATTTTTCCCAATTTCGAATCCCAATATAAGTCGAATTATCGGAAATTAAACAATTCACCATCTGGTTTATTTTAAAATGCAAAAAACTTGTTGCTATCGCTAAGAGAAAAACAAAACGATCGCTCACGAGTAAATTATAATCTATATCATAAATAATTTAGAACATCACTCAAGATTATGGATTATTTCGTGGAAAATCTGTTTTTAGTCTACGATAATTTTCTTTTTGTCAACACCTTAATGATTGGAAAACATCGCGGCGACATATAAAAACAGAGAAAGACGAAAAAATGTTTACCCTGTGAGCGGTAGGAGGTGACACTTAATTTTATTGCCATTAGCAGATGCTATAAATAGGTGTTATCGAAACGAATTGATTAATCCATAAATATTGTGGAGCTATAGAAGAAATTGTTGTGCCATTAGTAATTTCCCAATTTTCATAATTTGATTTTGTTTAATTATGACAGATAATTCCGAAAAACAACAAATACTTTTGTTGTTTTCTTCTTCTTTTAAAGGCTGTGCCTTTTCTTATTATAGTCTATTTAGTTTCTATGGCTGACGAGTGTAGTGCTTGTAATGATGGGTTGTCATTCGTCGTTTTTTAGGCGGACACAATTGACACATGACACGTTTTGACATACTAGGGCATATTCGTTTCTGCTGCTGCTCCGGATTTAAAATATTTTCAATAAGCAACTTTACCGAGTGGTTCAAAGCTGGCCAATTTCCACGATATTGTAGCCAAGGTCGGTCGGTTGTTCAGACAAAATGGCCATAAATTTTTTTCTGGTGATGGTGTTTTTCTGCTGTCGTTGTGGGTTCATCATCATCACCATTATCTTGCTGCTACAGGCCTTAGAGGGCCTCGACTTTCTCAAGATTTCTAATCCATTCTGTTCGGTCCCTTGCTTGCGTTTTCCAGTTGCCGACTCCAATCTTCTCGGCATCTTGTGTTACCCCGTACATGCACCTCAGCTTCTTTGATGATCTTGCAGCAGCTTCAGTCCCGCTGTCGTATAGCGTTCTTACATTCCAAGTACTGATCTTTAAATCATTGTCCTTAGTGGGTGCGTGGGTCGTCGTCTTGAATTCAGTCCGGCTTTTCTGTCTCGAGATTTCGTAACAATAGGTTTTTATGCGATGAGGGAGTTAACCTCATGCTCAACTTCCTTTTCGGAGGACCATTTCTCCCTTCCTCGTCAGTCCTGACCCCACCTTCTACTGGTTTACCCAGGCTATCCAGCTTGTTTGGGATATAGATCCGGAAAGATCAGCTTACCTTAAAATCCAGTAGCTGCTCTTCGATTGTTTGGTACGATCCGGCATAATAATTCGTTTTGCAGTTCTCTATAAGATCATCTCATATTTCACGAATAGCTGCTAATAGGTCTGCTTCCTTTCTCCCGCTCTAGATATTTTATTATCAAACATCAACATTCAGATAACCCGTATTATTGTATTGAAATACCTTTATATCCACAGAAACTTCTTGACTTATTGTTGGACCCATATTTTTGGAAGCGATACCGTCAAGAAATTTTAACTGCATTTATATATTAATTGATTTTGAATTAATAAAAGGATATTTGCAGCAAGACGGGGCTAGAATTCGTACAAGGCTGCAAAATTTAAATTTTATGATGGACTTTTTCGACAATAGGATCATAAGTTTAAATACTAATATTATATTCCCCCATCGATCCTGTGATTTGGCTCCCTGCGATTTCTTTCTGTGAAAAAATCGATTTTTAAAACTCCTGCAGCGGATTTGGAGGATCTTAGACAAAGAATAGAGAATCATATTGAACAACTAAAATACATGTAACACAGAAGGCGATGAATATGAACAAGACAAAAAATATTACTCTCAACAGTTTTTATAAGTGTCTTAGAAGACCGCTCGTGTTTCATTATATTATAGTCCATTTCCATCATATTGATAGCACATTATGTATGTAAATCCCTAAACTGTTGATACGGGTGACTCAATGAAAAATAGATATTTGTCAACAAGTTTACAGAAGTATATAGGAAAAAAATTTTAAATTGAGTATGACCACCAGGTATAAAGGTTGAAGCAGAATAGAATACAATAGTTTTCGGGGTTACTAATCCCTAAATAAAGTTGCCAGTGTCGGAGTGATGGAAATTAACAGGTACTAATGAATTTGCAAGAAATGTAAGATGTTTATTTTATTGGTTATATATAAAATAATTTGTGGCCGTAACAGGGGCCGATTTGTAAAAAAATGGTTATTATTTTAATCAAATTCCATTTCAGATTCACTGCTTTCTTCAGAATCTAAGGAATCTTCAACTCCAATGTTAATTATTACCGGTTCCAGCATTGCATCAGTCATATTATCCAAATTTCACATTTTATTTTCTTCCTTGTGAGCATGACTAACACCATTTTTCCAATTTTCTGGAGTTACTTTTGATAAAGAATGTTCTAATAATTGTTGTAAGTCTTCTAATTTAAAAGTTTTGTTGTTGCGTTCACCCTTTACTTGAGACCATATATTTTCTATCGGATTCAGATCACAGTGGTATGGGGTAAACGTAAAATAATTACATCACTGTTTAATGCCATTTCATCAATTATATATTTTTTATAAGCTGCTTTATGCTATCTTACAATAGGTAATAATTCCTTTTTTTGTCGAATTCTCCTTGTACTCAATTGCGTGTTTATCCAACCATTCGATTACCTCTCCTTTTTTCCATGCCGTTGTTGGCAATTTTTCTGCTAGTCTTGAATGGTAACTAGCATTATTAATGACTATGACAGAATTTTTTGGAATTAAATCCAAAATTTGCTCAAAATATTCTTCAAAAACGTCAACAGTCATTTCCTCGTGGTAATCTTTGGTTGATTTTGAGGCAAAACTTAATAATCTGCCATTGACAAAACCGTATTCGTTTCCAATATGGGTTATTATGAGTCTGCGTCCTTTTCCAACGGGAATATTGTTTATTCCAGTAGATACACCTTCGATGAATGCCTGACGGGAACTTTTCACATTTGTATCAACCCATAGATATGGTACAGTATGACCTTCATTTAGCCAAGTCTCGTCCAAATAAAAAATTGTTTTCCCTTCTTCTCGGTACTTTTTAATAGTTCTTAGATAATTTCGTCCCCAACATACAATGTAATCTTTTTCAATTAAAACAGATTTTCTTCTATTCTTTTGCCAACGAAATCCCATCTCTCTCAATAGTCCCCATAATTTCTTGTTGCTTATGATTGGTAACTCTTTGTTTTCTCTAATGAATGTTTGGATTTTGTCCAATGTTGGAAATTCTTGGTAAAAAAAAATGAGTGGACGCTGCCTCTTATCATGTTTTTATGTATTTCTTCAATTTCCAAGGGTTTACTCCCTCCACTATTCTTAGGAGATGAAACAGTTCCTCCTTTTCTTTCTTTTAGGAATCTATAAATTGTTGCTTCTCCAACCCCTGTCATATTTGAACACATGTTAACGATTTCACGAACATTACTTAAAGGGCGTTAATGTACAAGTGTATCGTGTACATTTAATATTATATTTTTCTCTCTTAGACTGAAGGCATCTTTAAAACTACACTTAACCGGGATAAAACCTGTTGACGTCATTTTTAAATGTAAATAACAAAATATCGACATCAAAAACATAGGTAGGTAAGACATGAACAATGTACATCTTACAAACTAAATGGAAGATGCAAACAATTTCTAATTTATATTATTGGCATAAGCTGTAATGTGGCATAAAAACTACTTAAATTATCATTAGTGAAGCCTTATCAGTAATTTCAGGTAATCGTTCAAAGAAGGTATTCTTTTTGTAAACTTTGAGGGTATACAAGGCAACTATCGAACACGGTGATTAATTTAATCTTGCCCAAGTACTTTCGATCAATAGATCATCTTCAGGGGCATTTCGTCAGTTTTGGCCTATCCGACATAGTAGAATATCATAAATGTAAAATTTGGACATAACAATACAAAATACAATACACTAAGACAAACAAACACTTTAAAATTTATAAGGAGAAGCTACATGTTGTATAGAAGCCGGAGACAGAATGATAAATATCTCCTCCTTATAAATTTTACTTCCTCCTCCTTTTTACTACCTCCTTATAAATTTTAAAGTGTTTGTTTGTCTTAGTGTATTGTATTTTGTATTGTTATGTCCAAATTTTACATTTATGACATTCTACTATGTCGGATAGGCCACAACTGACGAAATGCCCCTGAAGATGATCTATTGATCGAAAGTACTTGGGCAAGATTAAATTAATCACCGTGTTCGATAGTTGCCTTGTATACCCTCAAAGTTTAATTATTCGAACATTCAACCTTATATTGATTTATTCTTTTTGTGTCGGGCGATAACTTGTATAGAAAACAATAATCACCTTTTTAATTACTGTTTACATTAATTTATTTCGTGAAACATTGAATTCTCTCTTTAATCACCCGTGTATAATTAACAGTAATCGTGTGGCATATATACCGACGTTTTTTACGCACAAAAAAGGTATAGTGAGATTAGTGGATACTTATTTTACAGAAGATTTTTGAAAAGATAATGAATTGTTGACGGCATCTTAAAATATTAATTTTTTTTATTTATTTCAAAACAAGTATAGGGTGACGCCTATGTTTTTTGACCTGTTGAGGATTTGCATACATAATGTGCTATCAATATAATGGATAAGGACTATACTCAGAAATATGTGAATACGATTCTTGCTATTAGGTGAATATTTCATACGCGATAGTCTATTTTTATAGTCACACTTGTTTACCAGATTTATCATCGTGTGACCAAAATGATGAAATTTTTCAACGAAACAAACATATTTTTTTAAAGCAACTTGCGAAAAAATGAACCATTTGTTAAACCATTTTTTTTTTGTTTCAGAGGAAGATTTCCATGGATCTTACTCTAAGATAGTATTAAAATACTTTCTTGCCGAGGGTATTGTCTCTAATCATTCTACTTTAGTTGCTAGTCAAGATGTAAATCCTTCCAATATTGTAAGTATTCGATATTGTTTTTGTTCATAGTAATAATTTATGTTTACATGTTGGTCTTTCTATAAGAGAATCAAAAAAACGCACCAGTATGCTTTATTTACTATCAGCTTGGCGTGACGTCACAATTATCAAAAAAGCCGTGTCGCCAGATCGCTTATTAATTTGTGTTGTGTAACTAAATATAGGACGGAATGTTAAAAATGCGTTTCAAGGAATTAAATGAATATGGGATTCACATACTGGTTTTATATGAAACAAAGCAAAACGAGAATCTCATAATAATTCAGGCATACGTTTATATCTATTTTTACAGCGGGGGAGAACATAAAAGGATAAGCTCAAAAACGCACAAAGGCGTCTGGCTAGCACTAAATGGAAAAAACTGGGACCAAATGACGTAATACTCATAAATGATGTTACAGAGCCACTGTCACCGATTATTTTAAATGGGACCATCACCATATAATGCTGCAAGTGAAGTCTCGTTTGAAAGATATTGAAAATACCTATTCATTCATATTAATTTTGTTCGACTTTTAGCTGATTTTGGCGAATAAATTAAATAAATAGTAAAATTGTAGTTTTGCATTTAATTAATACAGATTTAAGAACTAGTTCTTATATTAAGTGCTTAAAATGTGCTCCATCTATTTCCTGACAGTAATGCATCCTATTGCTAAAGTCTTGTATACTCGTTCAAATCAGTACTTTCTTCAAAAATTCATTGTTTCAAAATGTCTAATACTACCGGAGGCTGTAGCGTAAACCTTAGATTTCAAGTATCCTCAAAGAAAAATTCTAATGGTGTGAGGCCCGGTCCTCTAAGGCCCTAAGGTCTAGGTCCCTAAAGACCTAGCTGGCCATTCTATTGAACCTCGTCATCAAATCCATCTACCACGATATTCTTCGTCTATGTATAGTTTGCGCCACCCTCATTTTGTCGAAACGTCATTACCAAGTTGCCGAATTCATCTGGATTATCTTCCACAATTTTAAAAATTAACGGCTCAATTGCGTTTTGTAACATCTTCAGATACACTTGTTACCTTACACCGGTTAAGCTAGCATTGAGAAAAACAGGCTAAACTATGTGATTACCCAAAATACCTTCCAAACATTTACTTTTTCTGGAAATTGAGAACGTTTTTCAAGAAAAACGTCAGGATTTGTGTCACTCCAATACTTGTTGTTAACGTTTCCATTGAGGGAAAAAGTACTTTCGTCACTAAAACAGATTGTTTTGATGCAACCTAACTCTTGGTTAATTTTTTATACATAATTTGTTGGTGCACTATCACCAAGAAAGAAGGAAGGGCCTGGACAATTACGGCCATTTATCCATTCTTACGGTGCCTTACAGAGGATGTTGACCAACCAATTCGAAGTTTCCTCTGTGTAGATTCCATATTTGGCGCATTATGATTAATTCTAACAACGGTAATGAAATAAAAACACGTTTTTAAAGGTGAAACGGGTCCAGCCAAGAGTCTAGGTTCGTAGAATACAAGCAGAGCCCCGGCAAAGGGGCTCCCAGAGAATAGAAGACCCTGTATGGGAGCCGGAGCAAGACAAGCCAGTGACCTGAAAATGTGCTATATTTATACATTTTCTTGTGTTTTATATGTGTATTTTCAGGTCAATTGGTCGATAGTAAAATTGTAGATGTTTCGAGGCAGGGCGATGCGCATCGCAGTGCGTATTAGTCCACGATTCAGGGCACGTGATGATATTCCCCCTCTTTGGAGACTCTGTGGCTGGAAAGAAATTTATTAGTAAAAATAATTATAAACAAGAATACAATTATTACATTTTGCTCAAGGGAAGATTCCTAGAAGTATAAAGGCAAGTCTCTAAGCGTTTCAGTTAGCCACTCATCCATTCCCACGGTGCCTCATAGAGGGATTTCGACCAACCAGTTCGAAGTTTTCTTTGCGTAGATTTCATCTTTGGTGGAATATCAATAATTCTTACAGTTGTAATGAAACAAATTCATATTTCTAAAAGTGAAAACAGTGCAACCAAGAGTTAAGATTCGTGGAACAGGAGGAGAGTCTCGACAAAGGGGTTCATATGGTATAGAAGACAATTTATGGGACCTGGAGCAAGACTAGCCTGTTTTGATAGCTTCCTCCAATAGGTCCTCGATATAGGACGATCCGGATAATTCTCATTAAAAAGACGTTCCGAATCCGTACATTCACCAATTTATAAGGCAGTTGCTACTTTTTAGGCTACTGTTCGTACCATTTCCCTTATGTAAACATTTAAACGACTCGTTAAACAATAATTAAACTAAATATTCAAGGTATAACTAGTTTTGCAAAAACTTTATCAAAATAAAAACAATTAGACAATTAAAAATTTCAACTTTTTTGACGAATAACCAGCGGCGAACGTTAGAATCTTTATTCATCAAAATTAGCTTAAATCCAAACAAAATTAGTTCTTATGTTCAATATCTTTCAAACGAGATATCACTTTCCATAAGGTGCCATTTAAAATTATCGGTCACAGTGGTTTAGTAACGTCATCTATCACTATTAGGTCACCTTCTATTTGAGTTTTAAGGGGGGGAAGACTTTTGGCTAGCACTGTATAATTATCCTGACTATCTGCGCAATGGGACCCTGCTTAGCTACTTTCTCTTTTTTTCCAGACACTCTGGCTCCAACGCTAACATTAAAATCATTGCTTCAAAAAATCGATTTATCTTATCGAAAATATCAAAACGTTTATTTTCTTTTACAGATCAAAGAATTACCTGCTGTGATTGATAGTGATCTAGAGCCAGAGAGGGTACTACAATCCCCTGGTATTAGTGATAAAATGAAGATAGCATTCAGATATCAAAATTTACCTACCAGAGACAGTGCAAGACACCACGTCAAACATATCGGACATATTTACGACTTATCAAAAAATATGTCATTTAGCGATATAGAAAATTCAGATATATGTTATTGGACTGGCCAAAGAATTGAAAATGGTAAGATATTAATTATACTCATACTAAATATTTCAGATTGTCATTTCTACCGCTCGCTCCCTTCCTTCAATTCGTCCATACAGAAAATCATTTTCTGCTCGTCATGATTCTTCTAGTAAAGCAGATAAACTGATCACACTTGGTGATTTTAATATAAATTTTAATTGAATCTGACCCTTTTTTGATATTCAAAATCTATTTATTTGGTATAAAAACATCTTTTGGTCTAAAAGTAGCTATAAAGTAGTCAGTCCAGTAGTTGCATCGACTATTTGATTAACACTATGACAAAGTTTTTTGAATATATCTACAGATTGGGCGTATTTGAACCTTGCTTTTCCGATCATCGAGCTCAATTTTTATTTATTGACTCTGAGCATAACGTTAGTGACACTAATCAAACATATCAACGGTTTATTACTTCTTCTGGTTTACAGAAGCTTAAACGTGTGCTAGCTAGTACAAATATGGACTTTTTCCATGATGTTAATAATGATCCTGATTGTTTGACACTCTTTCTTACCGAAACTTTGAATATTAAAGCATTTTCCATTAAACAAAGTACGATAAACTGCTGAAAAAACACCCGTGCAATGGTTTAATAATGAATTAAGGTCTTACATATCTAATCTTTCTCTTATTAAACACATTGCAGATGCCACTAAGGATCCCGATTTGTTCAAACTATATAAACAACAAAAATTTGAATATAACCGGCAATTACAAATTGCTAAAAAGTCAGCTTGCTGTAATTTTATTACTAATTCTAATAGTAAGCCTAAAGACTGCTGGAAAATAGTAAATTTCGAAAGAAACAACACAAGATCCAGTTCGTTATAACCTGATCTAGTTCTAGACGAAATAAATCAGTTTTTTACTACAATTGCAGAGAATATATATATAAGTACATCTCTTCTCACTATTAATGTCTATGTCCTCTTCAATTATAGAAATTATCCTTCTCCGAGCAAGTCCTTTTTTCGTCCCGTTGTGGAAGAAGAGGTCTCTCAAATCATAAAGTCTCTTAGTAATTCTAATTTTAGGGACTTTCACGAAATTAATAGTAACATTTTAAAAGATACTTTAACACCTTTCAGTCAGTTATTAATTTAATTTTATCAACTGGAGTATTTCCAGAAGTACTAAAATACTCAAAAGTACTACCAATCTACAAAAAAGGTGATTCCTCAAAAACTGACAATTACAGACCAATAAGCATTGTTTCTACTTTTAGGAAAGTGATTGAAAAGGTTATCAAAAAACAATTGTATTCCTATTTTGAGTCAAATAATTAATTAAGCAACTCACAATATGGATTCAGAACTGCTGGTTCTTTGTGATGCGTAGCAATTTCTTTGTGACTTGGCGAAGGCTTTTGGCTGCGTTTCACAGATTTTGCTCCACACATTACTATAGATATCCCTCTTAAGCTTATAACTTCTTATCTATGTGGCAGACACCAGGCGGTTGTATCAAAAGACCATCTCTCCGATTTTCTATCCGTAAAACATGGAGTCCCACAAGGTTCGGTCTTAGGACCTCTTTTGTTTATTATTTATGTCAACAATTTGCCTAAATTCATATCCCCGTACAAAACCATACAATTCGCAGATGATACGGCATACGTTCTATCAGGAAAAAATAATGATGATGTCTCATGAGGAAGTTTTTACTAAATCTAGCTCATGGTTTGCAACAAACTAAAACTTAACTTCGATAAAACGCAAAATTTGATTATATCTGCAAGTAATTAACAAATTGATCTAGATAACAAAGAGACTGTTAAACTATTGGAATAACCATAGATTATTCTTCATTAACTGCATTATTTGTTATTCGCCTATTAGCAAGGGTTGGGATCATGGGGATCAGGGGATCATATGGGGCAATTCGACAAATGCACTTCAAATTTTTAGAATGCAAGAGAAAGCTGTTAAGATTTTAGCAGGGGTTAGTTATCTAGAACACTGCCGACTTTTCTTTATCAAATTAAAAACTATGCCGCTACCTACTCTGTTAATATTTCAAGTTACAACTGAAATTTAATACAGCAGTCTGATTTCCATGTTCACAATACGCGAAACTGTCACTACTTACGAAAAAATCGCTGTAGATTTTCCAGAAAAAATTTGTCCTAATAATTATAACTATTACAATATTTTAACAAAAAGTATTAAACAGCTAAGCTGTAATAGTTTCGATAAAGTTATAAAAAAATATCTTCTAAAACATTGTTTTTACTGCTCAGAAGAATATATGACTCATTGCAGAACATCCACTGAACTGCTTACCTTAACTTCGTAAATCTTTTTGTATTTAATATGTGTTCTTGTTTGTGTATATTTAAGTTACGTTTTATATTCCTTTTTTTATATAAGTACTATGTATTTTTTTACTTGCTACAAACAATATTTGTATCTGTTTTGTAATTAAATAAATACTCTAATCTACTCTACTATTCTGGTCTATTCAGTCTATTTTTATAGATAAATCCATTTTTTCTTTCTGCATACTGCTTCTTTATAGTATTTCTGCAGGTGGTTTGATCACTTATATACTTACGTGGTTTAACTTTCTTTTAGCTTCATCTTCATATTTATCTTCATATGTCTTTAATTGTCTTTACCATTCTGCTGAGCTGCTTGTACTCTTTTACCTTCTAGCTTAACACAATGGAAAGTTCTAATGAAATCTATAAAGCTAACATAGACAGGTTTATTATGTTCTTTTTGCGGAAATGATCATTTTTTTGTTAAGCAAGGCAATTGTATGGTATTAGTAGGATTTCTACTAATACCATATCTCTGCTGTTGATATAAATAAATAGATAATAAATTAATAATGTCGTCCTTTAAGATCGATAGAGGTAATACGAGGTAATCTATGTCCAAAAATGAATACCGTGTCATTACTTGTTATAAAACTCTATTCTTTACAACTTGCATCCTTAATATTGTATTTTCATACGTAGGTTCAAGAACCTACTCGAATCCGGCGTACAACGCTCTCTTAAAGTCAATCAGAAACAAAATCAAAGACGGAAAGTTCTTCTTGAAGGACTCACCGGAGAAGAGGACCGTTCTCAGGATCGGCGTGCATTCGCTGGGATCCCCCATGTGGTTACCGCACAGGAAGTCGCTGCATTCGATAGACAGTACGAGGGATCTGGACAAATTCATATTTTGCCTGCGGGCGCTAGTGAGATCGGCGTATGCCGTGGCTGTCGTTACGATTCCTACACATCTATATCACGAGGTAAGTCCATTTAAAATGCGGGTGGTGGATTTTATATTGAGAGTGGATCGCTGATAACAGTCCACCCTTATATATTTAGCAATATTCATTCTGTTTGGTTTTAATTAGACTTGGAAATATCGCACACGTCGCGGAATATTGTAACATCTCCAAAAAGTAGTTTTTAGACATTTGAAGCTTAAAGATTTTGTTTTTCTAGTTAAGGTGTATAATAGTTAACTACTGTTATTGATTTTTAACCGGAATTTTATTTTATAGTGTCAATTATTCATGAGATCATTTTTTTTTGTTTGGGGCTATGGGCATGGGCGCATTGTATGCTTTCTCTACGGTCCAATTTTTAATTTTTTCTTTCCCTTCCTGCACAGACAAGGTTTATTTATTTATCGTATGGCAATTACAACACATTTAGAACAAAATTACAAACACTAGTAATATAGGTATATGACAAACTTTAAATAATTACAAACAAACATCAAGTGTATTAACATAATCAATTGACTCTGAAGTTGCAAACAGAAAGTCTTTAGGGCTACCGTTATAGGATCTTGAGGGACACTCTTCAATAATGTGGTCGATCGTTTGGTCCTTCCCACAGTCACATTGAGGAGACGGATTCTTTCCCCATTTATGTAGCATGTATGCACATCTGCCATGTCTGGTTCTGATCCTGTTTAGAGTGGACCATGTTTTACGTGGAAGATCAAAACCTGGTGGCTTGTGGGTAATACAGGGCATGTTATTTTGCCATGCATTCCATTCTTGGGACCATGCATTCGTGATGTTGAACTCCTCATGTATCATTCTTGCCGTTTTCATTGGTGGTTTTTTAGAACGTAGACGGGTATTTCGTGCATCCTCGGTATCTTGGTGGATCGGCAGGTTTATATTGTTCATGATCTTTTTGTATTCACGTGTAAGTGCGTCAACTCGTCGTAAATGTGAAGGTGGAATGTGACTTAATACTGGAAGCCATTGGGTGGGAGTTGATTTAATTGTACCAGCCATCATCCTCATAGTGCTGGGCAGCTGAGTGTGACCTTTTTTACGTGTGGACTGTGTAGCCAAACTGGGGCACAATATTCAGCGGTCGAGAAAACAAGGGCTAAAGCAGTAGAGCGGAGAGTGGAAGCCGATGCTCCCCAGGTGGTACCGCAGAGCTTCTGTATAATGTTATTTCTTGTACTCAACTTTTGGGAAGTTTTTGTTAAATGCTCTTTAAATGATAGCGTTATGTCTAGTGTTACGCCCAGGTACTTCGGTGTTTTGTTGTGAGAAAGTGTGGTATTTTCAAACCGTATGTTGAGTTCCTTTCCAGCAAGTTTATTGTTCAGGTGAAAGCAACTTACTTCTGTTTTGGATGCATTTGTTTGAAGCCGCCACTTGCGAAAATATTTGCTCAATATATATAAGTCTGCCGTCAGAACTTCTTCAGATGTTTCTAGTATTCTGCATCGTGTAGTGAGGGCCCAGTCATCGGCGTATCCGAACTTTCTTGATTGTGTTTCTGGCATATCTGCTAAATATAAGCTAAATAGTAATGGAGAGAGCACTGACCCCTGTGGTAGGCCATTCTTAAGTTTCTTTGGTGGGCTTATATCTGTGCCCATCACTACTTGAAACATTCGGTCGTTGAGCATGCTATGTATTAAACGTGCTATTTGTTTACAGGGAATTGCACGGAGAATTTTGTATATAAGGCCCTCTCTCCATACTGTATTGTAAGCTGCCGAGAGATCAATAAATACAGACAAGGTAATTGCCGATGATCTTGTATTTTTTTGGAGTTGGTTTTTAAATGTCTCTAGTTCTTCAAAGTCATCAGCGCGGTAGAATGTTTTGTATAAAAATTTGAAGTGGTTGTCTTGTGAAAACTTTAAAACTTTGATATCAGAAAATGGTAATTCTCATTTTTTTCGCTTTTCTTAAAATTGTCATTGAGCTCATTTTCAAGAGCTTTGAAGTCAATAAAATGATGTCTCATTTCGTTGACCTACTGGCGTCGATTCCTCTTGCTGCTCTTTGTTTGCGAGAGCTGCTTTAAGGGCCTTTAATCCATCGGAATAAGAAATCTTTTAAGTTATCTTATATGTATCTTCTTATTCATGGTTGATGTTTAGAACTAGGTCGGCAATCGTGACGTCCGATTCCGATTGGCTAGGATGGCTATAGTATCAACTTTACAGTCATCGTTTTTTTTAAGGTCCAGTGTTTTGTTTTCTATCTAAAATAATTGTTTCCATGATTTTTGAATATTGGACACTTTTCCGTCATCCCATGCAGATGCAATCCAATAGCAAACATCTAATAACCGTGATCTTCTTAAATGCGTCAATTACAGTCAGCCCTTCATACCGCCTGTTTAGCAGTACCCGTAGAAGCCTCCGCCGATAACTTCTCTTCATTGCTTCTATAACGCCTTGGTCTAGGAGTTTGATGAAAGACGTTACATTGGGTGAAAGGAACACAGCTCTTATACTCGCGTCTGGATAAGATCGGGCGTTGTCCAGCAAGAAGAAAGCTTTCGGATGCAAATTTTTTTAGGTAGGCATCAATGACTGGTCATCAAAAATACAGTTCTTAAAAATGTTACACGTCATCTATGCATTGCGCTGGTTTCATAGGTTGTAGGTAAGCAATTCACTTGGATATTTTTGAATGCCCTTGGATTTTTGGATTTTCCTATCAAAAGAGGTATTAATTGTAATAAATCAGAAACATTGTTGCAGATCATGATTGTGACTCTATTTACTATTCTTGTAACCTGGTGTAGTTCCTTCATTCTTAGCAGTTAGTGTTGTCCAATGAAGCATTTTAAAATTAAGGCCTGCCTGATAACAGTTAAATATTTGGTCTGAAGTCAGTCCATCTTTAAGGATAATGTCTTGTAATTTTTTAATAAAATGTTTCAATTTTAATTAAGTCATCAAAAAGTTTTCGCCGCTAAGTTTCAATTGTCTGATACTATATTTCTTCTTCCATGAGTCAATCCATCCCTCTCTAGTGCAAATGTTTTCTCCTTTATCCATAAACTTCTGGTGTGGAATTCAATTACTTTTGTTTGGAGTATCGGACTACTTATCGGGCTGCCCAATCCTCCCATTTGTAAAAACCACAAGAACAACGCCTCAGAAATTTGTTCATGGTCTTCCGCGTCAATCTATTCTGGCCACTCACACTTCGGTTGACCCGTTATTCGATTTTATTCCGTTTATGCTTCCAATCTCCAACAGTTACTCCAATACCTAAATCTGAAGCAACCTTCTTTATTGATTCACCCTTGTCCAACTGATTAAGATAGGAACAATATTTGTAGACAAAACGCGATACAGAAATTTATAGAAATAAGGAGATGACCTAAGGAGGAGAGAGAAAACTTGGGAGATGAAAATTCCGGCTCGAACTAACAGCGCATAACTATTCGCAATCTTGCCTCGGCTAACCAAGTGGCTCGGATAACCCAGGCTCGGATAATCGCGAGTCTTCTTCTTCTTCCTATGCCGTCCCCATTTGCGGAGGTTGGTGTCCACATTTCTAAAAGTTTCTCTGTCTTTTGCAACGTGGAATAATTCATCTACAGTCGTGTTTGTTCAGTCTCGAATATTTTGCAGCCGTGACTTCCTCTTTCTACATATTCCCTTTTTGCCATCGACTCTACCCTGCATAATGACCTGCACAAGACTATATTTATCATTCCTCACCACGGTATGCAGTCTTGTGTACTTTTATTGTTCTCAACAATTTGTTGTCTTGACCCATCCTTCTCAGCACTTCCTCATTGGTGATCCTGGCAATCCATGGAATTCTCAACATTCTCCGGTATATCCAAAGTTCAAAGGCTTCAAGCTTATTAACTATTAGCGCTTTTAACGTCCATGTTTCTACCCCGTACAATAGTTGGGACCAGTTGATTGGCCAGAACAATTGCTTGAATTTTAAGAACGCTGTCCTTGCCATTTCTAATCGGACTCTGATCTCTTGGTCTGGATCTAATTATGTGTTGATGTAAGCTCCCAGATATTTATATTTTGTCACTCTCTCTCTATTTGCTGTCCACCAAGGGTTAGTTGTTCATTATTTTTTAGACTCCTTGATACTATCATAAATTTGGTCTTATCTGTGTTGATGTCAAGTCCCATTTGAATGCATTCACTATTTATTGCATCTATACTCTGTTTTTTAACCAGGAGGAGTAAACCAAAAAGACAGATTCACACCCAAGAAAGTTACTAGAAAAGTCACCAAATACATCTTCTTTTTTTGTTGATTATCTCGGCCTTGCGGTAATCGAGTAATCAATATCGTACAACCTCACACCTCAATTTTAACCTAACTTTGTTTATTTATGTTTGAATAATAAAATATTTTTTTTTCAAGTCACTTCCAATATATATTACAATTATTACAATAATTTTTTTATTCACACTTTTTTCTTATTTGGTCCCATGTATATATATATATATATATATATATATATATATATATATATATATATATATATATATATATATTTAAATATCGGGTGATCCAGTTTTATAGATCTCTTGAGTCTATGGTATTTAATTATAATTTAGAAAATATTTTGATCGGGAGAGTCAATAATGTTAGAGATCTAAGTATGGTTTTCAAGTAATCAGAAATTTGTCTTTTAATAGTAGACCATATTCTTATATTCTGGTATGATCAATTTCTTGAATCTAGTTTTTTTTTCTTACCAGATACTTTGTGTGTATTTACAATAAATATAAATAAGTGTGTAGTTACAATTTCTTTAATGCTGGATTCTTGTTTAATTTTGACAGTGAGTTTGTCCCATTTGTTATCAACAAATAAAATTTACTAAAAAATACTGGATTTTTGTGAGATAATCAACAAATCCAATCTATTATGTTACATTCTTGCATAATTTTGCAGTTTTCTTGGGATGATCCACAACCAGGAAGAACAAAACCAACTGTATCAATACAATCAAACTAAAACACAACATTACTTTACTAATG